TAATTCCGTTGTGCATACCTTGCACTGAGCAGGAAGGTCTCTCACTGTTAGTCATCATCTCAAGGGTATTTTCATTGTGCATTCATTGTGGATTCATTGTGCATTTCCTGTGGCTCTTCTCATTGCAAAGCAAAATATATATTGTGGGTAGGAATGTGTATGATGTTTGTTCACAGATTTATTACCCTGGTACAAGGCAAGGTATTCACTTGCAAGTATAAACTCCCCAGCTCTGCCAGAACTGATGTTTCTTGGAGAGGTTCCGTGCTTCCTGTTCCATTCTGTCCACTGTTTTGCTCTCTGAAGGAGCTGTCTGGATAACTTTGCTCTTGGTTGCTCCCCTTGGGGATAAAAGGTGTTAATTGGAAAATATAAGGCACTGTTTCTTCAGCAGTTGATCTGGGATATTGATCCTGCTTCTACCTGTCCCCTTCACTTGTGAAAATTAAGGCCTTGGGGGCAAGTAAGAATGGAGAATACCCCTGCAAGCCAAGGAGAATGTCCATAAAACTCCGATCATAGTTTCTCCATCAAGAACATAAATCCCTTACTGCTTTTGCTTTAAGCCTTGAATTCAAAATGGTAGTATGATTAAAACTGGTCTTTTAGCCAGCTGTTCAGGAATTAGCCATTATTCTCTTAACTATAACTGTCTAGAAGTTAGTGGTCTAAGTTTCCCTTACTTAGTACAGGACAGAAGATGAATACACCCTTATGCCCCTTCATTAGCTAGGAAGGGAACATACAGAAATAATCAAAGTTGTCAGACTTCTAGGTGACTAAAATTAGCCCAAGATACAGCCTGTCATTATGACATTATCCCCCATCTTACTAAAACACAATTCCATAAGGAGCAAAAGCAGTCCAGGAATTTATCTTAAATATTAAATATTCTTTCTTTTTTAATATTTCAGGGATTTCCCACCCATGATACCGAAGGCAAAGAACTTAGCAAAGGACAAATTAAGAAGCTAAAGAAACTTTATGAAACCCAAGAAAAGCTGCACAAGGAGTATCTACAAATGGTTCAGAATGGAAGTGCAAATTGAAAGCCACAGGACTTTTTTTAGAAGGCGAGTGCTGGGTCCCCACTGAAGAATTGAGCATGTACTGATGCTCAGATTTCTGTTTACACTTTCTATTATGTGCAAAGTAAAAATCCTGTTTACGTGGATTAATAATGTCATCTGGAAAGGCAATAAAAATCCATTATTAAAAAATAAGCCAACCTCTAAGAAGCTTCTTCACAACAGCAGCAGCTGAATGGTTGCCAGTTCTATTTGGGAAGGTGCTGCTCAGTCAGCAAATCCACACAAGGATTCTTGTTCATTATAGCTGTCCAGGCTATGGTTAATTTGTCCTACATACTGATCTCTATCTAAGACCTACTGTAGCTTGCATTCCTGAATATGTCACAGTCAGCAAAATTTACTGCTAACTGGGAGCTGAGTAATTTGTCCCACAGTAAGAACAATATTTTCCAGATGACTTTAGTATCTTTACATAAGCAGGAAAAGTGGGTAGTTCCACTATGATACTTACTCTAGCTGCTGCTATTAAAAACTCTCCTAAGTACACCCAGAACACTTTGCATAGTAGAAGCTAATAGTCCCTTTGTTGAAAAAGGGAGCAAATCATCTGTGCTCAACCTACAGTTGCAATCAAGTGGGTAAGTACAAGGCAAATGCACCTGCATTGAACAAACAGGTGGGGAAGACATGAAGGGCTAATGGCAGAGGGAGCTGTGTTCTTGGAGATATCCCTTCAAGGAAACAGGAATGCTGCCAAAGCACCTGATTACCCAAAGTACTCAGAACCTAATTACCAGTTCAGAGCCGTGGGGAATTCATGAGGGTTTCTAACTGAGATACAGTTTGTGGATTGGTTTGCATTTAGGGAATACAGCTATAACTCACTCTGTATTCAAGGCTGATGTTTTTAACATGACAATTTAACCCTGAGTTAATGACCTTTCTGATGTAGTATGGTAACACTGTATCTGCAAGGAGAGTTCTCTGTTGGTTAACAATGCATTTCACTGGCAGTAGCTACTAAACGGACTAAAGTTCAGGAAATGCTAAAAAACAGAGATATCTTCTATTTCACAACTGTATTTAACAGCCAAGTGTCAGATTTGCGGAACTATATTCATCAAATATTCTCAAGGTGACTTGCAGAAAGTCATACAGTGACACCTCTCTTCTCTCAACTCTTGGGATCATGCTACAATCATTCGGCTATGCTCCTTTCCTTAATTAAGAGTTAAAACATATTTGCTTTTCCTTTATATTTTTATATTTATACTTCTTCTGAGGAATGAACATATTTGGAGCAACAGAAAGGTCTAGGAGGGTGTTTTTCTAATTTGTCTGTATTTGCTGTTGAAAACATACATAATGTTAAGGTCATTAAAGCACACGCATTCTAAATAAAACCTGTTGTAAAGTACAAGTTGCATGCCAGCTTCGTTTAGTGGGAAGAATATGGAGCTTATCTTTGTTCCACAACCATCTTTTTGAAATGTGTTTTAGAGAGCTTTGCCTTTAGCTTCCTAATTTAATTCATTTTGCATTCAATATTTGATTATTCTGCAAATTTCTAATCAATTGTATAAATGCATGTTTAAACAGCACAATGGTACTTCAAACAGCCATGAGGGCAACTTCTCCATCCTTTGGCCTGTGAACAGAAGAAGATCAGTTGCATTTTTACACCATTCAAGATCCTAACAACATTATCAGCTCGTCATTTTCTTCCAAGCATGTGTTGAGGCCACACCGTGAATACTGTGTGCAGTTCTGGGCCCCTCAGTTCAGGAGGGATATTGAGGTGCTGAAGCAGGTCCAGAGAAGAGCAACAAGGAAGGTGAAAGGACTCAAGCAGAAATCCTATGAGGAGAGGCTGAGGGAGCTGGGGTTGTTTAGCCTGGAGAAGAGGAGACTCAGGGGAAACCTTTTCGCCCTCTCCAACTCCCTGACAGGAGGTTGGAGTCAGGTGGGGGTTGGTCTCTTCTCCCAGGCAACCAGCAGTAGGACAAGAGGGCACAGACTCAAGCTCTGCCAGGGGAGGTTTAGATTGGATATTAGGAAGAGATTTTTTACAGAAAGAGTAATCAGACATTGGAATGGGCTGCCCAGGGAGGTGGGGGATTCACCATCCCTGGTGGTTTTCAAGATGAGACTGGATGTGGCACTTGGTGCCATGGTCTCGTAACCACAGTTGGGTTGGACTCGATGATCCTGGAGGTCTTTTCCAACCCAGTTCATTCTATGATTCTATGGTCTCCCATGGTGCATGTGCACTCAAGATATCCATGAGTGAATGGGATATGCCTGTGCTGCTTCTGAAGTTGCTACTTAATGTCAAATAGTGGCAGTAATTTGCTTATAGAATTCTTTTTGGTGATCTGAGTCAGCACTGACTTAAAGCGAGTTAGTACATAACTATGGAGAAGATGCTGTTAATCCATTGCTCTCCTGGATTCCAGTTTATGACCCCTCCATGAGTAACATTCTGGCTTTTGCCCCCACACTGGTTTTTCTCCTCCTGCTATGTTCTCAGTAGAACCTAATCCAATTCCATGATTTATCTACTAAATCAATATCAAGTAATTTTTTTAAAATGCCTTTTTACCTTCCCTTTGTTTTGTTTCTGGGACAACTTTCCTTGCATGGATCTTGGAGAGCATCTCAAACTGACGTTCTCCAAAGGTTGTTTTCCAGTCTTTCTGTATGCTTCCCACATGCACACACTGTTTCCTCCTCCCTCCCTCAGTATTGTTTCTAAATTCCGTATGCATGAAGTCCTGATAAAGGAGAACTCCGTAGCTACCCAGGAATGCTGCAGGCAGGCTTGGATGCACACTGCTTAGGATAACTTTTTCAGCAAGGCTGTGCCAATTGATTTGTGGATTACTGAATTGCACAGACAATACCTATTCCCTGGCAATCCATCAAGGTGGCACTTAAGTGAATTCCACTGCACAGCACTTAGTGAGAGTGACCTGGCAAGCAGGAGAAGGGAATGCAACAGCAATTCTCTGCAGTGGCTTAGTCACCTGTCTCTCTGGGCAAGAAAAAGGGAGAGGACAAGACTCGACAGTATTTTAATCTTTTTGTGGGCACGTATGCATACATATGCTCAGGGAAGCCAGTCTGGAATGTGGTTTTCTAAGCATTAAGAAAATGAAAGTCCCCACAGCAAAATCTTAGAATTTTAAAATGTTTTAATTTTCTGAGGCCTCACATTGGTCATACAACATGAAGCTTTTCATTTCCCACCTATCAAAGAATTCATTCAGAGAATGCAAAGGAAGATAAAAGAGTGGTGTTTGTGTTTTTAATTGCACCCTTGGCTGAAGGCCAAGCTTGGCAGCAGCAAATTTTGTTTCTGTCTTGTGCTCAGAGTGTGCCTTTCAGCCTTCCCAATGTGAATATTCACATTAACGTCAAGTATGAATACTACTCCACTAAAGAGAGCAAATTCCTCCATCACTCACGTTGTTCAGACACTGGTAGAAAAATCTGTGAGTTGTTCAATCTGAACTTGTTGCCATCAATCTTTTCAAAGACTTTTCAGCTAATGAGTGCCTGATTACATCTGTGATACTCTCTTTGACCTCTTTGTCCTAACATTTTTATTCGCTGTCTGCTGTTCTACAAAGCCACTGATGCATTTTCAATGTGCAAATAAGCAATTCACTGCCACACACAGTGCATAGCTTCAAATGCAGAAAAAGAAGGTAAGTTTAAACATTTTCAGGTGATGTAGTTGTTGGACGGACTTGAGCTCCCTCTTTAAATCACACGATTTCCACCACATACATATGGGAAGGATTTTACTCCTCCCTGTGACTTCACAGGGCAATTTCTATAGGTACCACATGCACAGTACTTAACATGTCTGTTGAGACAGAACAGATTAATTGTGAAACACATTTGCTATTTAGTAGCAAGACTCTGCTTAGCAAGATCAAAGTTCTTCCTCTCCCTGCAGAAAAAAGTCATTGATAGACTAAGTCTTATCTCTCAAATTAGGCTGTGAATGTCTGGCATCTCACGCAGTGAGAGCAGTTCCCATTAATACCCACCCAAGGGCAGAAGACACAGACATTTTAATGCCAGATACAGATCTCAGCCTAAGCTTTCTCTTCAGTGTCAGGTGCATCTGTTTGGCAGCTCTGCCACAGTCCCTTCTCTCTGTTTCTGTTCTCCAGGCTGTTGTATGTGAGGCTGGGTGTTTAAATCGAGCCAGGGTGATTCAGCACATATCCTTTTGCAGCTCTCTGCAGGGTAGCAGCACCTGACAGCAAGATGACTCCACAGACTGGGCTTTATCCACAGCCCTCAAGCCTACCACTGTGCTGCAACAGTCAGCAAAAATCCCTCATTGATCATGGGAGACTGATGCCTTTGGAGAGAGCACTAAAAATCCAAGGGTGTAAAGGTAACCGAACTGTGTGTGTGCTGTGATATGCAGATGCAGAAAGGTGCAGCTAGATCACACAGTCAGGCAAAAACTTGTCTTACATCTTTGTAGGAGACAAAGTTTGGAGTTTGTACTCAACAGCTGAGAGGATTGAGGGGGAGTGGCTGTTAACCTGCTGTTGTTTTTAAGGACTGTTTTGGAGAAACAGGGAAAGGGAGCTGGAAGCAAGGGAAAGAATTGGGGAAAAAAACTTTCCACTGAACATGTCCTTGTTTGTGCAGCTGGCTACACCATTCCTGCAGTTCTTTATCTGTTTGAATGTAATTCAAAATTGTCTTATTTTTAATTACAGTATTGGTATCTGTTTAATTAAAGGTTCCTTAGTTATTCCTGTGACTTAAATTCCTACCATAACTGAATTAATCTGACATTAATACATTGACTAGTTGTTAATCAATTGGTTTCACTGCTTCCCAGTTTTGACCTTGTCTGTGAAAGGACTGTGATGATAAACATTCAGCCCTTAACTACTGAAATCCAAGCTGCAGGCCTGGAGAAGCTCTTTTTTTAGAACAAGGGAATCCCCTGGCAGGAGAAAGGGTTAGAGGTTTTTCCTGTTGAGTGAAGGATTACTAAAGCACCACTTTTACATTTTTATATTGATGTTTTTTTGAATATTGAAAATATTGGAAATATTTGAAAATACAATACTGAACATTTTTCTATTAATACTGTGATTTTTTAAGTAGTGGCTTCAGGTATGAGGTGTTTGCCCAGTGCCAGCCTGGCATTCCCAGCAGTGAGGGCTGCATGTTTTGCCAGCTACAGTTTGTAGAGAAAACAGCTCATGCTCTCATGAGACCCCACCTGGAACACTGTGTGCAGTTCTGGTGTCCTCAGCTTAAGGAGGACATGGAACTGTTGGAGCAAGTCCAGAGGAGGCCACGAAATTGCTAAGAGGGCTGGAACATCTCCCCTGTGAAGACAGGCTGAGGGAGTTGGGGCTGTTCAGCCTGGAGAAGAGAAGGTTGTGTGAAGACCTCATAGTAACTTTTCATTATCTGAAGGGGCTATAGAGGAGCCACAGAGGGACTCATGGTTAGGAGCTGCAGGGACAGGACAAGGGGTAATGTGTACAAATTGTAAGAGGGGAAATTTAGGTTAGATATTAGGAAAAGGTTTTTTCCTGTGAGGGTGGTGAGACACAGGCACAGGTTGCCCAGGGAGTGGCTGCCCCAACCCTGGCAGTGTTCAAAGCCAGGTTGGATGAA